TGTTGTGTAAGTGAAAAAAGGCAGTCTTTGAAGTTTGTTTTATGTGGGAGTTACAGGACATATCCTGATCAAAGATAACAGGACAATGCCATCTAGAGTAACTATGTCATTAGATAATGTGTTTCTGAGGAAAGTTTTTAGAATGTTTCCTTATAATATTGCCTAAAGGAAGGATATGTAAGGTGAATAGAATTGGTCAAAGCACAGAACCCTGTGGGACTTGATGTCTTTTGCTTACATGGAGGATTCAACATTAAAGTTTACAAGCTGAAATCGACCTGTTACCAGTAATATGTAATATGTAATAGGTTGTCATGGTCAGTGGTGTCAATTTACTGTCAGTGTACATTTGACATATTTGTTCCTTTTTGAATTCTAAATACAATTTCAGTTTAGTTATACAAAGGCCAGAACACCAGAAAGTTGCAGAGTGAAATTTATTTACACATCTTTGCAAAATATGGGTTTCTAGAAGCTTGATGACATAGCAGCGACACTCATGGCTAGTTGATAAACTACTGTACTGTAGCTGTACTGAAGCTTACTGTGAACATGTTATGTACATAGCCAAAACAGTTTGCTAAGTTTCTTTTTACTGGCTTGTTTAGCAGCGGATTAATTTTATTTGAATGCTTAAACTCATTTAATGACACTTACAGCCTTACAGCATAGGGCCACTAGTGTGGATGTAGTATTGGCATCTTGTTTGAATATCGTATTCACAAAAATAGCAGTTATCACTTGAAACAACATTTGAGTGTATGTTAGACACAGTGAATGAATATATTGAACTGTACTGTTCACTATTCTAAAGTGATCTACAGTAAAGGTTGTGGCTCTTATTGATTACAGTGCTTTGAACAGGTTCTGTGAATCGTGTGCTGTGATTCCATTGTTTTCTGAACCAAACAAAAAATGTTGATCAAATATTTTTATTATCACAATTTCATGTCTCTTATACTTGGTAAACATTATATCATTTATTTCATTGAAACTACTGTATATGTATTAACTTATGGTAATGTATTTCTGTGTCTGTGCTTTGTTGTACCTCATACAGGGAATAACATACAAAATATATCAGAGAGATTAAAGAAAACCTGTTTCTTGTTTGGTCCATTTAACTTTACTGTGGTTTTTGGTCTCAGCACTGGCAACATGCTACACATTGTGTCACTACTCTGCAAGATATACTGCCACCAATGAAAATACACACTGTGCCGTTGCTTGTCATACAACAGTGTATAGATTCTCAAGTGCAGAAAAGTGTGATGTGAGTACCATTCTCTGGTACGCACACCCATAAGTTGGATGGGTTTTTGTGTGTTAAGGGGGTTACAGCATAGCTACAGACCCTATGCAAGTTGCTGCCATAGCTACATCATATCTGATGTGCGCCACCTACCTAAGGGCTCCAGTGTTCCAATTTTTTTGATAAAGGTAACATGTGTCACAACATTTTTGTACATTGATAGCACCATAAGTGTTGTGCTACAAAGACACCCCAACCTACAAATCATATTCTCTGGACGTTAAGGAACTTGTTTGTTCAGCATCAATTTTTTTTCAATGAAAATGAAAGACAAAAAACGACCATTTTAACTGAAATCACAATTGCAATATCTGCTAAATAATCGCAATAAGATTTTTTTTTTTTTTTGCGTATCATGCAGCCCTAACGTCAAGAAAGACAATTTCCACTGCTGACGTTCTGCTTACTTTCACCCTCGCTTTTTAACACAGTGAATGACAGTGTCAACAATGATGGCATGGACTTCTTTTCAGTAATCAGACAAGATGGACCTTCATGTTGCTTGTCTTCAGTCAGTATCACCAGGTGAATAAAAGAATGGAATGTATGGATATATCATTTTACACACAATAATCCATCAAGTGTTAAGGTGAACACCCATGACGAGTCAAGTATAAATTTAGTTATCAGTAACAGTCAAATGCCTAAATAAATCTATTTGATAAAAGGCTTTGTAAGATTATCTGCCTTTCAAAGTAACATTGTCCATAAACTGTGTCTTCAGTCAAACAAGAATCAAAGGTTCATGGGATCAGTTGTTAATCATCCTGAAATTAGTAGTTTGCATTCAGTTTGCATACTTGCCTTGTAGACCATACACACAGTGAGATGGTGGTTAAATTCCATTAACAACACAGGACAAAAAATAGCTTAAATTTTATGAAAGGCTTGTTATTTGAATGTGTTTTGCCCTGCTAAGTCAGTACTTAGTAAACCCCCTTTGGCAGATATCACAGCTTGCAAACACTCAAGTTTCTGTCATTCTCACTTTTCAGGAATTAATTTTCCACAAGCTGTCAGAAACTCCTGTGATTCATCTGGCCCAATAAGTTATATAGGCCAGCACAAAGCATTGACCCAAGCATCCTGGGCCCGTATTCACAAAGTATTTTATCTCACCACTAAGAGTACGCCTAAGTTCGACTAAAAGTTTTTAACTAAAAGTTTTCTCCTAAGTCCTATTCACAAAGCTGCTAAGGCCAACTTTTTGTAAGGAAAAGCGAAAACTCCTAAACTAAGAGTACGACTCCGTTGCTATGACTGATGTAAATTTTCATGGACGAGCTTACTTGCAGGAACCACAGCGATTGGTTGATGAAAGACCGGCCTGTGCTAGTGAAAATGCATGCGAAACATCCCACAGTAATAATAAAAAAATGAATACAAATTAAATAATAACGGATTCAATGCTGTTTATAAAAGAAGTGCATTCTCCAAAAAGTATCTGCATGATAAGGTTTGTGTCTATACGGGAGAATTTAATTTTACAATGAAAATTTACAATAAAAAGCTCATCTGTCATAGACTACCTAACTAAAGCTAACTGGCAACCTATTAGCTACAGTCTGTTGTAGCTGTACCTGTTGTAATGTAGCTGTGGTCCCGGGTGTGGGTTGAGGTGTGAGAAGATTTCCCCTGTCCCCCACCAGATGACATCCAGCCAGAAGGACCATTAAGATCCATGTAGATCCTGGACACTGAACAACAATGTATAGAACTGTATCATCAAATAGTTTGTTGATGGTGTGATTTTGTTTCCCTGTTTACAACTACCTCCTCGTCTTGCTATGGCGCAATAATTTTTTACATTTGTTCCATCTATGGCACCGATCACAGTGGGTAGACCTACCATGAAGCGTCTTTATTTCTCTGTAGTTGTTGAACATCTAAAGGAAATCGTATGAATTGTCCTATAATGTCAGATCAGAGCAAATTTATTGTTTCGGCTTACAGACGGCTGGGAGATCTCCAACTTGTCAGCATTGTAAAGTTGGATTTTCTCTGTTACTAAGTAATGCAGCGTTGCCAAACACGTAATTTCTTCACTGATTGGGTTGTTTCAGTTGGTTGGAGATGTTATTGCATCCTTTACAAACTCCACAATGATCCTTATTCCCTCTGGATTGAGTTGGTATCTTTTAAGTAATTCAGCATTGTTTAAGGTTTCCAAAACATCGTGATGTGGAAGGACAGCAGCCCTTTTATGATTCTTTGTGATTTGGTCTTAGTGAGTTAGAAGTCCTCTCAACTGCCTCTAACTTCTCCCAGACTTAGGTGCTAAAATAGGAAGATGCTATGTGAATACGGGCCCTGATTATTACACGCTATGATAGCTGGCATTGTTTTCACCTTGTGACACCTACTGTACCGGGAACTACCACAGATGTGTCTGTCTGTGGACAAATGTTGTCACCATGATATCGTCGCAGCTGTGTCACTGAAGACAGTCTTGACACTTTATAGGTGTATAGTTGAGATCAAAATTAAGTTTTAAGATGGTTGTGGTCTGACCAATGAGAACAGAGCACACATATAATAATATAGTAATGACTACTGAGTGCTCATGTACTAATGTAGCAATGGCTACCATGTGCTCGTGTAATAATGTAGCAATGGCTACTGTGTGATCATGTAATAATTAGTAATAACTGAGTGCTCATGTAATAATGTAGTAATAACTACTGAATGCTCATGTAATAATATAGCAATGGCTACCGAGTGCTCATGTAACAATGTAGCAAAGCCTACAATGTGCTCATGTAATAATGTAGCAATGGCTACTGTGTGATCATGTAATAACTACTGAGCGCCCATGTAATAATGTAGCAATGGCTACCGAGTGCTCATGTAATAATGTAGCAAAGACTACCATGTACTCATGTAATAATGTAGCAATGGCTACCAATTAGTAATGTAATAATGTAGCAATGGCTACCAAGTGTTCATGTAATACTGTAGTAATGACTGCCTTGTGCTCATGTAATAATGTAGCAATGGGTACTGCATAATAATGTAATAATGTAGCAATGGCTACCAAGTGCTCGTGTAATACTGTAGCAATGACTACCTTTTGCTCATGTAATAATGTAGCAATGGCTCCCTAGATCTCATGTGATAATGTAGTAATGACTACCAAGTGCTCATGTAATAATGTAGCAAAGGCTACCGAGTGCTCATGTAATAATGTAGCAAAGACTACCATGTGCTAATGTAATAATGTAGTAATGGCTACCGAGTGCCAATGTAACAATGTAGCAACGGCTCCCAAGTAGTCATGTAATAATGTAGTAATGATTACTGAGTACTCATGGTTTGGAACGTCAACATGTTGACAGCATTGGGGTTGCTGTGATAGCATCAACATGGTCCCTTGTCTCTTACTCTACACGTTATCTCTCTTTGTCACTGAGCATTTTCAATCTGTGGTGGATATAATTTACAACAAGCTCCAGGAAATTGCAAAATCTATTTTACATTATCTGTGATGTAACCACAGACTATTTAAACAGTTGCTATTTTGGTCAATTTGTGTCAATGTAGTACATTTGTAAGTATTAGCTTTGTGGAACCCCGTTTTAATATATTCATAAATTTAACTGCATAGTTATATAGAGTAAAAATGCTAAAACATATGCTATTGCAGTTCTGTCTTGTACAGTACTATAACATGAACTCTGAATACTCTCAGCCCCACTGTAGCAGCTTCTCCATAGACCGTAGTACAGTGATTGCTTTGGGAGGCAGCCAGCAGATCGTCCCTCATGCAGAACCACAACACCTTCAGGTCCCACAGTGGAATCCCACTCCTTTGGATCATCATCTTCCAGACAACAGGTATATGTATTGACATAATATTTTATTTTATTGGAACAGTTGCTTTAATGTACTTTCATTTTTTCCTGTGTTTGAAACACATGCATGCTTGTTTTCAGTGACCGAGCTGGTGAGGAATTCCTGAGATGTATTGCAGCCAACAAGCCCCTCCCAGATTATCTGAAAGGGAACATGGCTTATAATCTTGCTGATGCATTTAAGTCAGCAAATGTCCTGAAAGATGCAGTAAAATCAGACCCTGAGTTCCAGAAACTTGTGACCAGGAGCAAAAGTCGTAGTCAAAGCCGAAGTCGTGGCAGAAGTCGTGGCAGAAGTCGTGGCAGAAGCCGTGGGAAATCTCGAGCCAAGAGCCATGCACGAAGCAGAAGCAGAGTACGCAGCCGAAGCAGAGGAAGGAGCAAAAGTCGTGTTCGTGGCAAGAGTCGAGCTAGAAGCAAAAGCAGGGCAAGAAGTAACAGCAGGGCTCGTAATAAGAGTCGGAGCCAAAGCCGAAGCAAGAAGAAGAGACATGCACGGAGCAAGAGCCGGGTTGGGAGGTCCAAGTCACGAAGTAGCAGCATTGAAAAGAGACATGCTAAAGACAAAAAGAGAATGAGGAGTGCCAGCAACAGCGGCAGCAGCAGCGTCAGCAGTAACAACATGGCAGGGAAAAGTCTGTTAAAGGGACTGAAGCTGGTCATAAACAGCAAAGAACTGGATGAGCGGTTGCCCACCCTCAAAGATGCCATCCTCACTATTCAGGTGGAATTCATCATTCATTCTTCAAAATGTCTTGCTTTAGTGGGTTATCAGCATAAATGTCCCTAACAAGTGATTCTTAAAGATGGTCTGTTTAGGTACACCAAGATTACACCAAGGTCTTTTTAATAATATTCATAAGTTCAGTTCTGTATCGACCACATATAGCAGCAGATTGCCTCGCAGGTTGTTGTCTATCAGAAGTTGTTAATTGTTCTTAAATACATGTGAACACAGGCAGTTAAAACTAATGCATGCTTAGACTGTACCTCTTTAGCCTGTACCTCATTAATTCCCTAAACATTTCATCTGCAGCCCAACAGGATAACAAAGTGAAGGACCTTGCATCTGTTAAATGTTTCTTATGTGGTGTTTGTTTCTGTCCAGGCCTCTGATGAAAGGAAAAAAGTGCAGAGTGGACTGGACAAGAACAGACCTCAGCAACATGACAGTAAGGAGAATTCAGCGTCACCGGAGAACGACAGCATGCTCCTTCCCCATGACAGAGTAGGCAGTGATTTCTCTTGGCTCCAAGTACAAAGTCAAGAGGACTCCAAAGTCCGGAGAGCTGATGAGCTTGATGATGAAGAGTCGTTCTTGTATGGGAGTGAAGACACTGGAGGAAAACAAGACAACAAATCGTCTTCCAACCTCTTTTCATCGTTTTCCCAGATTGGAAAACATTGTAAACTACAAGAAACTGATGTTTCTGCTCTTTGCAGTCAACAGCATCATCAGACCAAATCCACATTCAGTAGCTCTGGGGATCGGCTCGATCTGAAGCATCCCCTTCAAATGACTTCCTCAAGTCTGGCCTCTGCCAATCTGGACAGCAGTGAGTGCGAGAAGATCAAGAGCATATTAAAAAGTTTGGGCACAGCAGACATCAGCGAGATCATGCTGAAGATGCAGGGGCAGAAGGAGGAGAAGCAGCTGTCTCCTGCACTTCCTCGTTCAGACCCAACAGCAGCAAGCTTGGCGGTGTCGGCAGTGAATAATCCGAATGTACGACATGCTCTGGAATCTCTACAGTCTCTGATCAAAGGTGAGGACCCTGATTCAACTCCATTATTCAGGCATTAACTAACCATAAATAACACTGTGATCAGTTGTTTCATTAGTGTGGATCACTTTTGGTTACATCCAAAGTTTGAACCAAGTTTATAATCGTTTTGGATTTTTCATTAGTTTTTATTTTTATTTTGTTTTGACTTTTTGTTTTCACTCTCAGTTTAATTAGTTTTAAGGCAGATTTGCTTCTGTTTTTCTTTTTCTTTTTGTTTCAGTGTTTTAGTTTTTTTGGTAATATGTGGTATTTGTCAGGGTCTGATTCATAAAGGTTAGAAAAAGTATTGTGTAATAAAAACTCAACAAAACATCAAACCATTTAAAAAATGTGTTCACTTAAGACAGATGAACAACCATCCACAAAAGACAATTATAACAGATGTGTTAGTCAGTGTGTTTGTGTCATTACCCAGAAAAATTCAACTGGACAGAACAACTACTTGACTTCATTAACACAGTGAATGTTTTGGACACTTAAAGTGCACATGTAATGGTCGTACACTAAGAACCAATCAGCTGCTAAGATACTGCTCCATCTGGCACAGCTGAAAAATTGTAAGATAGATTTTAAATCCACCCAAAACACCAGCTGATGTCTGAGATAAACTGATGAAAACTAAAGACATTTTCTCTATAATTTTAGTTAGTTTTAGTTTTGTAAACACACAGTAGTTTTTTTTTTATTTTAGTTAACGAAAATGTTTTTTCACATTTAGTTTTCATTATTTTGTTAGTTTTAGTTAACGATAATAATCTTGGTTTGAACTGCACATTTTAAATATGTGCAGCCACAGATCAGGCACATGTACTTTTTATTATTTATTAATCCATTGATTTCATAAATTCAGCGTTAAGCAAGTTGCACACTGTATAAATACCATAACACCTGTTTTTGTTTTGCAGCTGCACCTTTAGAGTATATGGCTGGAGGTACTCTGTATTTTGACCTAAAGACCTAAAGCAACAATGAATTGATCCAAACTCTCCTGTTCCTTCATTTTAATAAACTGTAGTTTATTCTGTCTCAGTCCCACATTTAACCTCCTTCTGCTGTAAATACTACACTTTTCAGAGAATGTGTATTATTTCACAGATGCTGCAGGTAAGCTAAGAACGGCAGGGTTCAGCTGTTCTGGGAAAGCACTGAGCTTTTCTCCTTAAAATGAAGCAGTATATTTGTGACCCCTTATGTGTTTGAGCTGCAGACTGGGGAAAAGTTAGAGAGTGATGAAAAACAGATCTTGAAAATCAATCAATTTACTGTAAAAAGGTATTATCAAGTCTGTTGTATTTATGTATGTGAATGTGGGACACTAGAAGTAGATTCTAGGCACAGGGAGACGTACAGTCTTTTTCATGAAGTTTCAGTCATGTTGAATGAATTATTTTGAATTGATTAATCCATCCTGGTCCAGGTCAATTTAGTTAATTATATCCATAGGAACCATTGTTACAAACGACTGGAAACAACTGAAAAAATGTAATTATAATAATAAATAATTCTACCCTATATTGTGCCTACTGCTTTCATCCTTTGGCAGGTATGAACGTCAAACAGGTATTAAACTTTCTGTGTGTTGCCAATAAGGTCTTTCATTTCACTGGGTGAACCCTGCAGAGGTCAAGTTGACCAGTCACCTGGTGTAAACAGTGACACTGAACTCTAACACGGGATCATGTTGCTCTTTCTGCTTTAGCCACGAAGGAGAAGCGGACTAAAAGTGAGGGGAGTGGCACATCTCAGAGCTCTGATAAACACAAGGTGAAGAATTTCACTCACTGTTATTGACTGTATAATATCTGAACATGAAGGTGAACACATTAAAGATTAAACCCTGAAACTGTTGTCTGTTTTCCAGACAAGTGACACTGAGGAGAGGAAGATAGAGAAACAGGCCAGAATCAGTAAGATGGAGTCATTGATGAAAGAGCTGGAGGGCTTGTTGAAACAGGATGGTAAAGCACCTTCTCTCTTAGTTTTGATTCTTTATCATCTTCCACATTAAAAAACTTGATGCTTCACTGCGTTTCTCGTCCCTCTGCAGGACTGAGTTTCCTGACACCAGTCATTGGGTTTTACTGCCAGAAATGTGAGGAGTTCATTGGAGATTTGAATTGTGCTGAAAACCATGCAGCCATCCACCGACACAGTACCGCCAACAGTGTAAGTACCTCAGGACCAAAGACCAGCAGTGAATGTGTCCCACAAACTTCAACTGTGTGTATCCATAGCCTCATATCTTCTTCCTCTGTGCTTCCTCAGAAACACATGAGCCACATTTTCACACTGTGTCCACCTTCCTTTAGCACCTTTAACACACACCCATAGTTAATTTAATTCAGTCCCACACACCATCCTGTCGCAAAAGCACCAAACTACTAATTTCCAGTAATTTAATTAATAGTAATAATGATTACATTTATTTAATCCAGTACTTTAATGATATCAACTTACTTTAACTGTACTCTTATCAATCTGGTACTTTAATGGTACTCTTATTGGTACTTTTTTTTTTTTTTTTTTTTTTAAAATCACATGGACAATATCAACATTCTTGAGTGACAAACTTCAACAGCACTGAACAAATCACTGTTATAGACTGATTTTTTTAATGATGGAAATGTAAAACAAATGTAATACACAATGATTTAAAATAGGACTTTTTCTTTGACAGTATTTTGACTGTGCAGTAGTTTTGAACAAGGTTTATTTACAAAAACTGAAAATCACCAACAGGGAAAAACTAACGAAGGACCACTCAAGCGGCTGCTGAGGGAAAAAACAACAAAAGAACAATAACACAAAAAACCACGAGGGGCAAAAAACTCTAGAATAAAAGGAAGTTGTTCAGGAGGAAAAAAATACTCACTAGCACACAAGAAATAAACGCTGGAAATACAGAGCGGGAGGTGAGGCAGGTTCTCGTGAACGTTGCAAGGAACAGCAGGCATGCGAGTGAATCGTGTGGCACAGGGGAATGTTTGGCGGAGGCTTAAGTAACCAGGCTGATTGCAAGGAATCAGGAACAGGTGAGAGCAATGAGGCTGCTGCTGAGAACCGGCCCCGCCCCTCCGCGCTGCCCTGAGTGAGGGAGGAGACAGAGGTTAAATGGAGGCTCAATGCAGCAAAGCAAAAAAAAATCAAAAACCAAACCATAACAGTTCCCACAGCATTGGAAACAGTGAAAATACATCATAGACAAATGTAGTAACGGTAACGGAGTTGGTAAGATAAAATGTGCGATGTATTTTCTTAATTTCTCCAGTACTGATGGCAGAACCAATAACGTTGGGGCTCATCATTTCTGCGGTCTTTCAAAATATTGCCTGTACAGGGTTTCAGTACCCATCCCTAGTCAGGCCTAAATATCCAAACTTTAACCTGACCTTTACTGAACACTGCCCTATGGAAAACAAAACCTGTTGTCTAGCACTTTTCATATTATGGGGTTTAAGAAGCTCGTCGGTCATAAGGTAGCGACAGACTTTCCACTTTCTTTGTCTTCAGGTTGCAGAATTTGTCTTGTTTTTTTTTTGTTTTTCATTGTATTTTTGTTTTGTTTTTTTGTTTGTTTATTTTAGCAGAAGGTGCAGACGGGAAAATATGCTGGAGACAGCAAAGAACACTCACACTATTCTAGCAGCAGTAGCAGTAACCAACACCCACACCCCTCAGAGAGGAGAGACCACAGGGACTACAGCTACCGCAGAGACCCAGGAGACCACAGAAATCATTATCAACAATGCTGGAGGAACGAGAGAGATGGCTTAAGAAAACTAGATGACAGCCACAGAAACAACAAGGCCAGGCAGGAAAACCTCTCCCTGAGAGAGGAGATGAGTAAGGAGAGGATGCTCATCACAGTGTCCCAGGGACTGACACCTCCTTCAAACGTCAGGGTCAAGGAGGAGGTGAAGGAGAAGGCTGTTGGAAGCTACAGCAAAGTCAAGGCAGAAGACACAAACAGCAAGGGCAACAGAGAAAAGGATAGCAAAGAGAAAGGTGACAGCAGTGACGGTAGTGATGACGACAACGACAAAGGAAAGAGTAAAGTAAAATCACCAAAGAAGAAAAAGAAGAGGAAGGAGAAGAAGAAGAAAAAGAAAGAGAAGGGGGGAAAGTCCTGAGTGTTGAATGATCCATTTCACACTGGTCCCCCAGATGATGTCAGCTGCTTGTTTTCTCCAAGTTTCTAAACTTAAAGTTCAGAGTTTTGCCATCCTCCAGCCAAAACCATGTTGTTGTTTTCTCTTCCCCATTCCTTTTTTTTTTTTTTTGGTGTGATCAGAAGAAAAAAGTCGGCTGTCCGGAGAAGAGAAGATGAATATCAGACTCATCTGTGTGTGTAGTACAGGTGTGGGTCTGACATGTGGTTAGAATGGATGTTTAGAGTTGTTAAACAGACTGACACACACTGATGACACTGATATGAATCTTCTTTTCTATCTGTCTCTCATGTTTTTAAACAAATGTCAACATGCTCCTTTTTGCTAAATGGCTTCCTGCAGGTCTTTCTATGAAAGTGAAGATGATGATGTGTAAAGTATGTTTTCATATCCTGTTTTCAACTTTTAATTAAATGTTTGAAAAGCTCAGTCGTGACTTCTTTTTCTCAGTACCATTGTTTCTGTACAAGGACCAACAGCAGTGTTAGAAATGTAGAAATGTAACGTGTGTATTTGAGTTTATCCATTTTCTCCTGACTTGTCTTATTTTATTGTGAAACACAGGACAACGCGCACACATTTCCTGTGGTGACTTTCAAGATGAAAATACAGAATCTGCACAATTAATCAAAGATGTTAAAAAGCCTCATCTCTCATTAGTTACTGAGCTTTTTTTGTTTTCTCCATCATCAGCATTTGTAGCTGCTGCTTCATCACCTTTGTTCAGTTACTATCAATGAACCACCAACAGCATCTTAATGGTCAAATCGTTTCATTTGACAGATCAGATTATGGCAGATCACATGATCATATCACATGACCAGATTCATCCTCTGAGGGCGTGCCAGTATTGTTTACCTTGACATGCTCTCAGCAGCCGTCCTCATTATAATCACAGCTGTTGATCAGACTGTTCTGCACAGTGGAGATTAACATGGAGATGCTTTTTGCTGGTTGGTCTCTTCTTTAGGACTTTAGCATTCCAGGTAGAAGACAGTTGGTAACCTTCCTTTAACTAGTGAACTGCTCACCCATTCTTTGTCCCTCTGTTCACATCTCTGTTGTTCACTGAGCTGCTTTTCCTCCATGCATCCTCATGTTTCTTCATCTCATTTTACAACCATTTGTTTATCAGTTTCAAACATTTATAACTGGCAAAAGGTTAAAACACATGACCATTTATTAATGAGTTACTATAAGGCTCCTTTTACCAGTTATAAATGGTAGTTACTCATTAAGATTAACAAGTAGTAAGCATTAACTTGATCTTGCCAAATAGTGAGCCTGCATCAATGTATGAAAACTGTTAGAACTTGTTTATAATTGCTCATTTACTGTTGTAAAGTGTTAATAACTGAATTAAACTAATTATGAACAATTTATACATCCTTTATAAGAGTGGTCTTCTTGTAAAGTGGTACCCAGTATCGTATATATCACTTACCTTCCGTTTGAAAAAACAAATACAAGAAATATTTTCCATGATATTAAATCATAATATTGTGCTTATAGACTACAAACAGAAACTTGACACTGTGTTCCAGAAGAGTGAAGACATCCCTCCGTACAGGACATTTACTGAGCTGTTATATTCATGACTGCTCAGCAGATGGAGACAAATCCTCATGGATACATGCAGTATACCTACACTGTACAACAATGGATGGCCTCATAGAGGAGGAAGTAAAACAGTGAAGCGACTTTCGTTCTCACAGTGACTCCCTAACAAGCAGAACAAAAACTGTCTAACGTGATGTGTAACTCCTCATCACAATACTCAACAGGTATTTTATGAACATGTGATTGTACAACACTGGACAGTTTGTTGATTCAGGCTTTGCCGCATTCCCATCAGTCACTGCAAGTCCCAACCCGCCCCTGTCTGTAACAGCCTGTTCTTTAGAGAGAGTGAAGTCCATTCTGCCGCTTTGTTACTTTCACATGAAGAGTTCACAGCGGACTGTGACAGTCTGTGTTCTATCCAAGAAGCGTGTCATGTGAATGTGAGGTGTCTGTCATGTCTAAAAGATGACAAATAAACACACAGGGACTTAAAGTTACAACTTTGTTTTTAAAATTCAATCAACAGTTTGAAATGTGCCAAAAAAAAAAAACAACCAGCGTTTACAATCAAGTCCAGTCAATTTTATTTACAGCACTGAACCACAACAGAAGTCATCTCATGGGGGGTCTGGTCTCGACAGGAGGAAGGACAACGTGGCAAAATGCAAGTTCCACATGGAGATGTAAAATATTAACAATAGCAGTAGTAGCAGGGGGTGTTGAGCAGGGTCATGGAGGCAATAGGTGGTCTACAGTCTCAGATCCAGACTCTACAGCTCTGGAGGCAGAAAGCCCTGCAGAGGGCAACAGGAGAAGACGAGGAAGCACAAAACCACAGGAGAGAAGCCGAGTTAGTCACATGTATTACAGGTTTTTGTGATTGCTTACACACTCATTTCAGAAATTGGTTCATTGTGTCAAAACTCCACACACAAGCCGAGCAAGACAGAACACCTGGAGCTGAAGATCTCACTTCTATGTCAAAATGAACCATACACACATGCACCATGTGAATGACTCTCTGAAGGCAGCAACAACACACTGATGAAAACACTGCTGTCTTTACAACTTTGTATATCTTTTTCATTTTGTCATACAGGCTTCACACAACACAGAAATAAAAAACATTCAGAAACAGCTGATTTTACCAGAACAGGTTTGTACAGAACAGTAGAACTTACAGCTGCAGCCACAGCCTCTGTCACAGAGCATGTTTACACTCAACTGTGAAGATGGTGAAAGTTATTCTGGTGTAAAAAACACAGGATTACAATGTCTACAATTTCACACAGGGAGGGGGGAGGGGGGAGGGGGCTGGGGGCGGTTTGGACAGATAGGCAGATACCCCCCACACCAGTGCAGGTCACATACTGCTTTGTCTGAATGTCTACATTGACAACACAACACAATCTGCTGCCATCACTCTGTTACTCTACAGTTCAGTGATAGTTCCACACGTTCACAGAGAAGGTCTTTGACTCTAACACTGTTCCTCTCATATGGAACCTGTACAGCTGCTTCAGTGTAAGGTGGTGTTGACTCAACATGTGGCAGAGTGTCGATGGACTGAAAGGTTCAGTTTAGAAAGTTTCAATTTCTGCATAAGTATTTTAAGGTGTTTATGTGTGTGGTACAAAATTCAGGTGTGTGTTGCAGTTTGAAAAAGAAGTGTTTTCACAATGATTGTGAGATTTAAGTCTTGGACAAAGTGTCTAATGTAAGAAAACAGTGACATTATAAAAATATGTTTGTACTTTTGGTTCCTTTGTTTAAGGTATGGTTTCAAAAGATAAGGTTTTGATGCTTTGGTCTAAGCATTCACTATTCAATCAATCACAAAAAATGGTGAAAAAATACACGTTGCCATTTTGAATATGATAATAAAAAGTCTTCAAGTCTTCAAGGTCTGACTATGGATCCTGTATTTCCTTCAGGCTCAGACACATCTCTGTCTGTCAGTAGTTCACAGCCAAACTGGGAGTGCTGTGTTCTATTTGAGTGAAAATACAAGTGAACACACACACACACACACACACACACACACACACACGAGGATCATGTCCTATCATGTCATAAAACAGGCCGCAGAAGACAGTCAGGCAGGCTGCAGCAGAGGCCTGAGCTCGTTACTCATTAAACAAGAAGAACATGACAACACTCACGTCCTCATTTCAACTGTGCTATATCACAACAACGACTCAGAGACAGAATTAAATCAACAGCAAGTACATTATTAGTATTTATTTATTCTTATTGTATATTGTATGTATTGTATCTAATAATTTAAGTACTTAGTAAAGTATTCAAAGCTGCTGTAATCAATAACTACCTTATTCTTATTGCAAATGCTTAATTTCTGTACATATTCTATGACCACCTTCACGCAGGAGCATCCTGTTCCTTTATATCTCCTTTTTGAATGTCTCTGTTTTGCGGCCATGGACCAAGTGAAGGCCATGTGGAGCTTTTGTCACCGTGTCGAGCAGCACTGCGTGGGAAACGGGCCAGCAGGACCTGGACCCAGGCTGTCAGCTGTATATCTGCACTTCACCAGCCCTCACAGCATGACTCACTTCAACTCTAAGTCTGTCGACATGGGAAGTGTCGCGAAGGGAAAGAAAAACTGGACCATACACACACACACACACACACACACACACACACACACACACACGTTCTCTTACATTTTTAACAGAAGAATTTGTGACCTCCTCTACTCTCTTGTCTCCTCTCTTCCTCTCAACTCCTCTTCTCTGGAATGGTGGGACACACAAACCTCACTCCCAATAGTGGAATTCAACATGGGAACTTTAATCCTGTGACTCTGTTCACAGGAAAGACATTTGGGCACTGTTATTCTTACTTATATTTACTGTACTTAAGTACAGTTTTAAGGTACTTGCACTTTACTTGAGTATTTCTATTTCATGATGCATGGTTTCATCCCAATGTTCAAATGTAATCTATTGAATCTAATGACATCTGATCTGAACACGTCTTTCTGCTCTTTCACTTTCTCTTTCTTTCTTCTTCTTCAGGTCAGGTCTGGGCAGGTCAAGGCCAGGGGACAGGTGTCCCGGGCACTGCAGCATTTCTCTTGATGAAAGAACAGTCAGTAGTTCTTTTCATTTTGAATCACGGATTTGTTTTCAGGTGATGAGGAGAACAGGGTGTGGTTTCACACACAAACACACACACACACACACACACACACACACACTCACACACACGTCTCTGCCACTTCTCTCATTGCAAAACATCAGAATTCCCTAGGACTATGCCATTTACTGAAAACTCAATTTTCACAATAAAGCATCATCAAGGTGTTACACATTGTCTGAGTGTGAGGTGGGTGTGGTCAGCCTGCTAGTAGAAGTGCATTCAAGAATAAAACATGTCATTTCCTGTTGCCATCAGGTGGGACTCTGACTATAGTTCAATATTGTCATGAAGCCTGTCTTCAGGCTGGGACTCCTATCACACATGTGAGTTTTGGAGCTGATTGGACAATGTATGTGTCGACAAAATTTAGGAAAATTGCGAAATTTCAAAATAAATTCAAAATGCTGACTTCCTGTTGGGTTTAGGGTATGGCTCCAAGAGGCTTTTTTGTAAGTTTGACACGTGTGCCTACCAAACTTCATACATGTAGGTGAAATGTACCACTAGCTGTAATTTGTAGAAATTTTACAGGGGTCGCTCGCGGTAACGAGCCATTTTGCCACAGATGTGCAAGTTTTTCAGAATGCTCCTCACACCGGCCCTAATGACCATCAGTGTTGCTGTGTATCTGTCACATCTGTAAATTATGTTTGATAACATGTCAGACATAATAGCAATGGTGAAGGCAATGATATCTCAGTGTT